ATTCAATTCATACCACAACTCACTCTAATCAACTTACTCATCACAAACACCTCGTCCCCTCCTTCGCGATCAAATCTAAATCCGACTTTACTATTATTCAAATCCAACTCTAGTGTAAAGTCAACTGTCCATGATGACAATGATAATCCTTCGCCAACCTGATCAGTGGAGTTTCACCACCCTAGTGATATAAACGTATTTCACAACTACTGCATATCACCGCGAATATCGCGCGTTTTTCACCGACTTTCACGCCACTTCACATAAAACAGTTCGTGAAACTCCGTTGAGCAACTGATCTCATCAAAGCACTTCATCGAAAACACCTTTCGAGGGTTCCAATTCTAACCAATGCTGGAGTAGGAATATATGTTCTCTTACTCCCGCGGCTCAGCTCAGGAGTTTCCAAGGCTTATTATAGGAGTTTGCGGGTTCAATTTTACAGAAAATAAATGGCAATTCCCCCCAATTCTTTTAGAATTTCTTATTGTCACCAACACATGTAGTTGACAATGTGTTTATTCTCCCCTCACACTTCTTCCAAAGAACTTAGATTTCATCATAAACAGTTTATTTTTTTCTAAGCAATTTCTGCAATTCAATATTTTACGCCACATTAGCGTAGCGGCTGAAACTCCAACAAACCTCTTGTGGAGAGATGATCAATTAGTATAATCACGCAAGTGTTTTCCGGAGTATACTCAGTATGTTTTCAATTCACTCCATATCGCCGATATTGCATCTACGCCCTCCCCCAGGGTGAACTAACATTCCTTAGATTCCTCTTAAGAACAACATATGATAGTCGTTATCGAGATTCTCTATAATTTTCCATCACAAAATTCCAATACCTTAACGTTCTATCTCCATAATCGACTTCAATTTTCGGTTTTTTTACCAATTTTTCCTCGGTTATTAATAATATTAAATTCCAAGATAAAAATATCAACAAAAAACTTTTCTCCAAAAACACAATTCTTACCTTATCGCGACAATCCACAACATCATCGCCCAACATTTCCCGCAGTTCTTCAACCGCGCGTCCTCCAGAAATCAATCTGCTCGTTGCACCTGCATGCTCGCTCTCCTCACCAACTAAGCTTCACACTAATATACGAATTTATATATGAATTCGGGTAGGAGCAAACAAGAAGGATTTTTAATATTGTCATCACCAACACATGTAGTTGACCATGTGCATATCCCCCCACACACTGTTTGTTATTATTAAGAATTATTGAAGTTTCTTCACCCTAGTGATATAACAAACACTAGTGAAAAACAATAGTGTGAATATCGCGTTTTTCACAGAGTTTTACGACGCCACTCCTCGTAAAACTCCATTGATTTATGAATAAAATTTCTAATTTTCCGCTCCATATTTCTTATCACCATTTGCTTTCCACCATTAAAACATATTTTTTCGAAAAATTTCCTCATAAAATTTTCACATTGTCATCACCAACACACGTGGTGCATATTTTCCCTCCACACTGCTGTTGGCTACCATCACAAACTCACTCGTAGTGTCATATAAAGACTCCTTATTCTTCCTAGGACTGACGACTCCGATTATACTTTTCATAATTCCTCCACTAGAATTTCTCTCAACATTAACTTCCCGTAATTTCATCAACGCATCGCGTCTAACCTGAAAAAAAAGAGAAAGTTATAGACTATGGAGTTTCACCCTAGTGATATGAAAAACATTAGTGAGAAACATATTTCACGACTACTACAGGCTGCGAATATCGCGTTTTCCACCGAGTTTCACTCCGCCACTTCATGTAAAATGGGTAAAACTCCTATGCATAAAAGTCATAAAATCTCTTAGTATTTCAGTTAGCAGCTTCAGACTCCGTTCAAAGCTTTTTAGAAAGTCATAAAATCAGCGAGGGAAATATGAAACTACATGTGTTGATGACAATATGAAAATTTTCTGTACACTTTATGTTTACAATTGTATAATTAGTGCGGAAACTCTTGAGCTCAACTGAGGAGTGCAAACAAACATTCCAACACTGTAGTTTCACCCTAGTGATATGAAAAAAAAACACCACAGCATTTGCAGGTATGTTTTTAAAAAGGCTAGCTATTATATTAAAACTCTGGGTAGTTAGTTAAAATCAGTCGGTAAAAGATTGGAAAAAAGGGTATTTTTTTTCAAAAAAGTGGTAATATTATTAAAAATTCGGGTAAAATAGTAAAATGACCTGGAAATGCTGTAGTAAAAACATACTTCACAGCCACTGCATATCACCGCGAATATCGCGAGTTTTTCACCGAGTTTTACGACCCCACTTCACGCAAAACAAATCGTGAAACTCCATTAATATACCATATATCGTTATTTACATATATTTAGAGGACATCTATTAATATTGGAGTTTCTTCACCCTAGTGATATGAAAAACACTAGTGAAAAACATATTTCACGTCTACTACTGCATAGCGCAAATTTCGAGTTTTTCACCAAGTATTACGCCACTTCACAGAAAACGGGTTGTGAACTTACTCCCATTATGTAGTCCAGATGATACTCATTCTCAAATTCATTGACTTTTTCTTCCAACTTCAGCAGCTCCTTCTGAGACACACAATCAACACTGCTTGTGGTAGAGGACTACGGGTGGAAAACTCCAGGGAAAAGAAAACGGAAAAAATTCGGTATAGAAAAAATATCTGAAATTTCATGCGTACTTCAAACAGTACCGAGAATTCACACAGTATTGCCTGAACTGTGCTACCGAAAACTCCAGAGGAAGGAGACGAAAAAACACGGTACAGAGAAAAAATCTAAAATTTCATGCGTACTTCAAACAGTACCGAAAATTCACACAGTATTGCATGAA